AAGACTAAAACATAACACAGTAATAAATCACACGCGCCACATGCCCAGGTGCTTGAGAGCCCCGCCGCGCGTCAAGCCGGAACATAGGAACTGCTCCGCAGCTAACTCTACGCGGCAAAGGGCGAGAATTGCTCCGCGCCAGCTTGAACCAACCACCAGGCGCGTGGCGCGGAAGGCGAGGCGGGGGAGAACCAACACCTGAGGCACCGTGGAGAAACCACCACCACCTGATCGGAGCGAGGCCGGAGCGCAGGAAACTTACATAACGAGGTCTCAATGCAAACGCACAAGCGTGTCATGTAGGTTGCTCAATCTGCTGATGTTGTCCGGCTTCACTCGGCTTCCCTTGGCTTCCCTCGGCTTCACTCAAGTGCAACAGCGTGCAAGCAGCACAAATGCTCAAGCGTGTCATGTAGGTTGTTCAATCTGCTGATGTTGTCCGGCTTCACTCGGCTTCCCTCGGCTCCACTCAAGTGCAACATCGTGCAATGAGCACAAATGCTCAAGCTGCTGATGTGAGTTGTTCAATCTGCTGATGTTGTCCGGCTTCACTCGGCTTCCCTCGAAGAGCAAAACGTGGAGTCAGTGCAAGCGCTCAAGCGTGTCACGCAGGTTGCTCAATGTGCTGATGTTGTCTGGCAGCTTCTCTTACCAACTTTTCGAGAATTACTTCGCCTGTCGCCTATGTTGCTTCCGGGCCACTCGTCTGCATGCTGCGCGCCAAGGTGTGCGTGGCACGGTGCGTGACGCTGCGCGCGATGCTGCGCATGCTGTGGCATATGATGCTGCGCGTGAGGCTGCGCGTGGCGGACTTTGACTCGAGCGTGCGTCGCGCCGGAGTTTTCCGCCTGCGCACAAGCAAGAAGCAAAAGCCTAGAGCGCTCGTGACTCGCTCGCATTGTTGTTGCTCGTCGCGTGCGAGGCGGGTGTCACGCACTTGCAGACAGTCTGCCACTGAGACAACAGAGCTTCGAAAACATTCGCCTGCTCGTTGCACTCAGCAACAAGCCGTGCATCACTACCTGCGCGCTCAGTCTCTACTCACTCACGAGGTAATTATGCTGACCGGAGGAGTCACAAAGATCACGCTCGCCAAGGTCGTCCTTGCAGTCGCCGAAGTCTAACCGCCAAGAAGTTCGACTTTGCTCCACCGCGTACAGAGCCCACAGCACGTATCTCCGATGACGCCATGGACGAAGGCCAGGGCGCTTCTCGAGCAAGAGATCAATTGCGCTCGCAGCAGAAAAGCCGTAGGCTACAATGAGCCACGCGCAGAGCGCGCCAGCGCTGCGGTTGATGCCGCCAAAGCAATGGAACAAGACTTGCATGTCTTTCTTTTCGCAGACGTGAAGTTTGGCCAACCTCCAAAGCTGGCAACAGAGGTGCTTCCAATGCGTGAAGCAGTCCAGAGCACACTGCCGGAGCTGGTCCGCGCTGTTGCGCGGCTGCTTTACAGTCCAGTCCTCTAGGTGTCCTTGGAGATGACGAGCGCCAAAGTCTGCGAAGTATTGGCGCCAATCCTGCGGAGCGCCCCGGACGGTCATCTCCCGGCCACAAAGGGTGACCACTACGTTGACGCGCACTGCGAGCCAGCTGTGGATGTCCGCCAAGGAGCAGGCAGCTTTGAGGCTTCCCAGCAACACATTCTGACTTGCGTTCTCGGAGTGCACGACGCAGGCATCCAGCGGCCAGGCTTCAATGCTCTTGAAGCTATAGTCGTGCTGCCACACTCGGCAGTCCAGGCCCGACCAGGCCGGATAGCGAAGAACACACCCGACCAGGAGGGGCATCCATCCGGCGGAGCTGGGGAGACGCTCTCCGCGCCGAGATAGGTCCGCAAGTGCTTTGTGCAAGTGCTCTGTGCAAGTTGCTCTGCGCAAGTTGCTCTGAGCAAGTGCTGCCGGAGCTGTGGGAATGTACTTCGCGTACTATTTTTTTGTACTTAAAAGTTGTGATTTTCCAGCCGGAGCTGCGGGAGTGTGCTCCGCGTACTACGTTTGTACTTAAAAGTTGCGATTTTCCAGCCGGAGCTGCGGGAGCACGCTCCGCATACTACGTCTGTACTTAAAAGTTGCGATTTGCCAGCCGGAGCTGCAGGAGCACGCTCCGCGTACTACGTCTGTACTTAAAAGTTGCGATTTGCCAGCCGGAGCTGCAGGAGCACGCTCCGCGTACTACGTTTGTACTTAAAAGCTGCGATTTTCAAGCCGGAGCTGCCGCGGACCAGGGGAGAATCGAACCCGAGACCGCGGGATTGCGAAAGCAGGCGCGCAAACCACGAGACAACTTCCAAAGGCCGTTTCGCGAGCAAGAAAATCGCACGGCGCCACAGCGAGAGCGCTTCGACACGCACGATCTCCGCAGGGGGTTCATCGGGCTCAAGACAGATGCGCACGGCGCCACAGCGAGAGCGATCCGACACGCACGATCTCCGCAGAGGGCTCGCCGCGACCAAGACAAATTCGCACGGCGCCACAGCGAGAGCGCTTCGACACGCAGGATCTCCGCAGAGGGTTCGCCAAGGTCAAGACAAATTCGCACGGCGCCACAGCGAGAGCGCTTCGACACGCACGATCTCCGCAGAGGGTTCGCCGCGACCAAGACAGATTCGCGCGGCGCCACAGCGAGAGCGCTTCGACACGCACGATCCCGCAGAGGGTTCATCGGGCTCAAGACAAATTCGCACGGCGCCACAGCGAGAGCGCTTCGACACGCACGATCTCCGCAGAGGGTTCGCCAAGGTCAAGACAAATTCGCACGGCGCCACAGCGAGAGCGCTTCGACACGCACGATCTCCGCAGAGGGTTCGCCAAGGTCAAGACAAATTCGCACGGCGCCGCAGCGAGAGCGCTTCGACACGCACGATCTCCGCAGAGGGTTCATCGGGCTCAAGACAAATTCGCACGGGGCCACAGCGAGAGCGCTTCGACACGCACGATCTCCGCAGAGGGGTGCGTTTCGTAAGCTCCCGTCGGGCCTACCCCCGCCATAAAAAGAAGAAGAATTAAGAGTCGAGAAGTGAAGGTAGAACAGAAAAGTTAGCTTGTGTTTTTAGGATAGTGAAGTAACACCCGACAAATTAGCTTGTGCTTTTAGTAGAATGAGATAACAGCCGAAAAGTTGACATAACAGAAGTAAGCCAGGTGAAGTAAGACAACATGAGAAGTTGGCAGGTGAAGTAACTCTCGAAAGTTGGCATGAGAAGTTGGCAGGTGAAGTAACTCTCGACAAGTTGGCATGAGAAGTTGGCAGGTGAAGTAACTCTCGACAAGTTGGCATGAGAAGTTGGCAGGTGAAGTAACTCTCGACAAGTTGGCATGAGAAGTTGGCAGGTGAAGTTGGCAGCCGCTTTTAGAAGAAGAACCCTTCGCAATGCTTCCGGGAAAAAACTAAAATATATATATCAAATCAAACAAAAGTCAGCCAACCAACTCAACTAACAACACAGAAAAAGACTCAAAGTGTCGAAAACGGGCAGTTTCTGCTATATGCCGAACGCAAGACTCCAGGTCTCTCGCTCGGGTTCCGGTTCCTGGACTTTGGTCTCACTTTGTCTCTACCCAGTGGGTTGCTTCCTTTTTTCCACTTTTTTGGGGTAAGGGTTCCCTTCTACAACATAGATACGTATTACTAAATCCCACCAAAAAAGATAACGTATCTATAGCGTATTTTGTGTTTAAACTCAACAAGCAAACAAAAGGGCGCCCCTCTTTTTTCCTTTGGCCACTGGGCATCTGAGTGTTGGGCGGCTCGGACCATGGTGGAGCATCGAAACTTGAAAAAGTCTCTGGAGTTTTGGGCGGGAGGACCATTAAAGGGCCGGAATCTTGGTGAGGCCATTTTTCTGTGGGATTTAGTTAAAGTGGTCTTCTTTTCTGGGCCAAACTCAGGGAGTGATAATTAAATCTTCATACTGGTGTTGTGTGTCCTAGTGTTTCCCTTTCCAGGAAAAAAAGTAGCGATGGCAGCGATGGCATAGCTTGCAAGGATACGTTATCTTCAAGTCACAGCCCTTCTCGTATCGGGTTCATTTGGCGCGGACATTCAGTGGTCTCTGAGGGGCGATTTTTATGGACTTGTGTGAATTGCTCTGGTGGCCTGACTTGGTTTTCGGCAACTTGAAGTGGCTCACTTGTCAGGGCTTCGCTCTTGGTTGCTACTGTTGACCCCGGATCAATAAATTCCTGATTGATTCATAGGGGGGTCGCCTTGTAATGGGGATCTCTCACTTTTGTGGGGACACCCCACATCGACATGAAAGTTGAACAGCGACCGCACAACTTGAGCGGCAGATTCGAGCCTTCGCCGACAAACTTATTATCAACAACCCGTGAGTTGGCAGACTTCTTGCTTATCGCCGGGTTTCTTCATCTCTCACAAAGGCCCACGGCCCAAACACTTGACTTAAAGCCTCTTTTCGTCGAACAACAAATGCTTTGTCTAAGCCTCCTTGGCTTGCTTCTCACCATGCGAAATGGTTTATTGACGGAGATCCAACTGGGAGGTTGACAAGGCGCATGTGGCACAGAAATGTGTTCTTGGTGTTGGTTGAGATTGAAGATTGGCCTTGCTAGGCCTAAATGCACTCAGCCCTGCCGAAAGCTTTAAATGGCCTGAATGCCCGCATGTTTGCCTTTTTAGCTGCAAATGAGCACCCATAAACAAGAGAACAAGCTTCTACACTGGTCAATCCTAGAAGCGTCCTAGCAAGAACGGCTTTCGTGAACGAGAAGACTGACCATAGGAGTTTCAATCAAAACTTCTAGTAGTCTATGGTCCCCTGGGGCGGGACTTCTGTATAAGTGTTCTCAGTCCGTAGATAGAGGCAATTTAAGAGATCAAATCACACAAACACCATCTAACTCGTAGGTTATGATATATACCCAGTAGGCTATGATATAACTAGTAGGTTATCTATAGTTATGATATAAGTGGGTTATCTATGAACATGACTCACATCTTCATTGTGACAACGGCCCATACAGCAATCAATTTCTGAGGCTGAGCCTCGCAGTGAGCAGCGAGAAGGGCGTTGCGGTCTTCGAGTGGGCCACTGAGGCTGCCGTGAAAGCGAGGGGGCAGTCGTTGATTGGATTTTGGGTGTCCCAAACTTCAGCTGAAATGTAACGTGTAGTTTTATTTCTTGGTTTAAAGGGAACCAATGACTATTGGAAATATGTTTTTTTCCCAGGGGGCTTAAGCAAATGGAAGCAAGTGAAAATGTAGGGTCCCAAAAAGAACGCCCACACACAATTTGAGGTTTGGTCGAACATTTCCTGGTTTGTCTACGGTTCAGCATGGGGGAGCTCACACAACTTAAGACCAAACAACTCACGACATGTCACCTTCAAATGTGGACATGTGTTTGTGTCGGCTCGTGTTGGCCAACTGCGAACAGAGAACCTTCCGAAGGCGCCATGAAGGTGCCTAAAGTCTTCATGACCCTTAAAAAATGGGTCATTACCCAAAATAATGGGGTCATTGACCCATTTTCAAAGGATCATGGAGACTCCAGGTGGATGTGCACTTGCCCACTGGAGATGGTTGCTCTGTAACACTCTCACCAGAAAGGCCCATCAGCGAGCTGAAGGCTGCAGCAGATCAGCATTTCCGCCGCTTGAAGCTCACTGTGGAAGGCCAGCAGCTCGATTTGGCGGCCACGCTGATCAAGGCCGATTGCGATATGGGGACGTGGTGGCGGCGGTGGTGCAGCTTGGCAAACTGGCTGCCACAGGCAGGGCGTTTGCTTGGCATGGCCACGGTGGCGAGGTTGTGACCTGGGGTGATCCAAAACGTGGCGGAGACAGCAGCCGGGTGCAAGAGCAGCTGAGGAACGTCGAGGACATCCAAGCGAATTCAAGCGGTGCTTTCGCTGCCATTCTTGAATCTGGGTCTGTTGTGACCTGGGGATATCCAGAAAACGGCGGAGACAGAGGAACGTCCAGCACATCCAAGCAACTGCCGGCGGTGCTTTTGCTGCTATTCTTTTATCTGGGGCTCTTCTGACGTGGGGTGGGGTGGACACAGCGGGCCAGGTGCAAGCGCAGTTGAGGAATGTCCAGAGCATCCACTCAACTGACGGTGTTTTTGAGCAGGAACGTCCAGGACATCCAAGCCACTCGCTTTGCTGCTTTTGCTGCCCTAGATTCAGGACTGTTGTGACCTGGGGTAGTCCAAACTTTGGGACAGCAGCCAGGTGCGAGAGCAGCTGAGGAACGTCAAGCAAATCCAAGCATCTGCTGGTGCCCTTGCTGCCATTCTTGAATCCGGTTCTGTTGTGACCTGGGGTCATCCAAGTGCTGGCGGAGACAGCAGCCAGGTGCAAGATCAGCTGAGGAACGTCCAGGATATCCAAGCCACTCGCTTTGGTGCTGTTGCTGCCATTCTTGAATCTAGGACTGTTGTGACCTGGGGTAATATCTTTGGGACAGCAGCCAGGTGCGAGAGCAGCTGAGGAACGTCAAGCAAATCCAAGCATCTGCTGGTGCTTTTGCTGCCATTCTTGAATCTGGTGCTGTTGTGACCTGGGGTCATCCAAGTGCTGGCGGAGACAGCAGCCAGGTGCAAGATCAGCTGAGCCTCAATTTGGGACGTAACTTGGACGCAAATGTGGGTTGCCGAAGCGTGCTGAAAGAGGCTTTCATTTGCTTGGTTTCGACCTTTCCCCGTGGATTCTCGCTGCAATCCATCGCTGGAATCCATCGCTGGATCCTTTAGGGGACCGAAGCAGTGGAGGGAAGAGAGTGGCTTCCGGGGAGCCTTCCGCGGAAAGCCGAGAGCACTTGGCAAGGCTGCGGTGCGAGGAGGTTTTTGTGGGGCGCCTGTTGATCTTTTTTTAGGGTTCTTGGTGGCTCCCAGCCGTCCGGTTCCTTAGCTTTTTAGCGGTTAGCGGTTAGCGGTTCGTGGTTGGGTTTCCATTTAACCCACTGAAAGTTAGTCAGTTTTAGCGGGGGATCTGAGGACAGCCCAGGGTTGAGGCAAACGGAAGAGCGACGATTTGCGAGTTGTTTCGGCGGTTGTATACCCATTTGGAGACAAACAACACTCATCAAGTGTTCCATGAGGACATGGTTTGAGGGGGTTCGCTGCAGGTCATTTGCATGTTGGCCCGCACTCTTTCAGGAGGGTGCCATATGACGGATGCAGTTGGAACACGGCCCAGGAAAGAACCGGTCGTCCTACTGGGACACGGGTGTGTCTTCCATTTTGGGGTCCCCCCAAAATGGCTTCGGTTTGCCTGGTGGTTTCCCTCTTCAGAACAACAAGTGTTTGCTTCTCAAAGGAAGCCACACCCAGTGGCCTTTAAAACATACAAAAGTGTGTGTGTGTGTTTTGTTGTTTCTCGAACAAAAGCAACAGCTACACCATTGATTAAGGCTTCCATTTTTGGATTACCTCCAGGTAGCATTGCACGACTCGCCTTACCTCTGTATTTTTGTGGGGGGGGGGGGGAAACAACAAAACACGCCACAGGTTGGGTTGGGTTTTGCCACATGGGGGTGGGAACCAAAACCGCCTATAGTAGGGGTCTCGCATTTGGCAAACACACATGGCTATGAATTTCAAAAGTTGGAACCGCAAGTGGTGGACCACTTTCTCCTGCCGAATTCTGATGTCCACAATTTCGGGTCCAACCACTGGCAAATCACACCCATTTGTGTATGGCTCCTTCTCGATCTATTATTACTGGATGTTGTTTCAGGTTCGAGTATCTCCCAAGCACCAAGAAGCACAGCTCGGATTCCGGGCTCCAAAATGATTGAAATTCAAGGCCCTTGTTTGGGTTTCTTGCATTTGCTTAAGAATCTGTGTTATTTCCTCTGTTGCTGTTAAAGGGAACCTACCTGGAGTGTCCATGTCCCTTTAAAAATGGGGTCGTTACTCAAAATAATGGTCATGGACACATGTTTAAGGGTCATGGAGACTCCAGGTTGACATGTTATCATTTTTTCCAGGGCACGAAACAGCAAATGAAGCCACCCTTTTTCTACCTTTCGCGTCCCTGGGCAAGTGGGGAAAACGCAAGCCAGGCTTGTGTGGGATGGGCACGGGTCTGTTTAGAAGCTGGCTTTTATGGTATGAGAACCTGTTTGTCCAGGTGTTTTCCGCAGCCATGTGACCTTTTGGCAAAAATTTGGACTCGAGGGTTTGGATGTCCATGGCAATGTGCAGAACTTCGGCGATAGGGTTTCAAAAGTGTGGAACCCCCAGAAACTGGAAGAGCCCAGCTAACTGAGAGCCGCAAACACTGTTTTGGGCAAATTCAAGTGAGGAATCCAATAATGTTAGGACATGTTAATTTAAAGAGTTGTCTTTAATAATTTTAACTGAAATTCTGTGCAACACTTGTTTGGGCAAATTGTAACATGTCTTTACGTGAGGAATCTGGTTCTGAAATTTAAAGACATGTTACAATTCACTAACCTTAGGGAACCCAATTGCAGGAACCTTCACGGGGCTGAATGCCGCACCAAAACCGCAATCCTAACAGCCAGGTCCCCCAGTTCCCTTTTACCCTTTTTGGTTGGGAGGGTTTCCCTACTAAAATAGACAAAACCGAAAAAACAAATCGGGTACCAGCTTATTCTAAGCTCCAAAACTGGAGGACCTAGACAGGGAGCTTTGTGCCATAGAAGATATATCATTCCTCAGGCAGGCACACCCGTTTGTGCCCTTGGCAATGGGTTTGCTTTCAGATCGGGACCCAGGACCCATGTCCGGGGTACTGGGTATGGGGTCCCTGGACAAGCGCGAAAAAGAAAGACGTTGCACGGTGCCCTCACACCCCCGTTTTTTTCTTCTTCTCAAAACTGGTCGTGGATGGTAAATTTATAGAGGACGTGGGCGCGCCGGGTCTTTTTAAGTTCCCCGTGCTTCTTGGTCAAGACGAGTCTTTCTTGTTTACTCTTTGCCCAAGGCAGAACATGTCCCAACAGTATGACTACACGTGGTTTAGGAGCCCGATACCCCCAGATAATTATATTTGGGCCCTGAACCCCCCTTCCCAGGCCTCAAATAATGGGTTGGGATGCCCTCCCAGCAAGTGACATGCAACCTGAGAGTCCTTTAACAGGAAAATTGGGGGAACAAAAAAACACCCCCCGAAACGCTAATTGGTCCCATGTTAATTGGAGGGAGGGTAGGCGCTCACTTCCTGAGCTCACGGACTTGAAGTTACGTTTCGGGTTTGGAGCGGTTTAGTGGTAAGCGAACAGTTGTCCGACTGATTTTGGGCCCTCAACTGGGGGTGGGTGAAAAGAAAACCACCAGAAACCCGCATGTTTTAGTCTTTGGTTCCATTTACCGATCGGGTTCCATTTTGGGTACCTATTTTTGACCCACAACGAGCTAACTCGGGAAGTGAGGGGCTGAAAAATCCCCCACTCGCCCCCTCGCCGAGATGCCGTTCGGCAGGTGAGCCCGGCGCTGGAGGACCTGAGGGCCATCAAAGAGCAGCGCCTCCTGCAAGAGGCGCGGATGATTTATCGCAGCCTTCGGTGTCAACCCAGGGGGGGGTGGGTGGGTGGGTGGGTGGGTGGGTGGGTGGGTGGGTAGGTGGGTGGGTGGGAGTTGGGGGGGTGGGTGGGTGGGAGTTGGGGGGAGTTGGGGGGGGAGTTGGGGGGGGCGTTGGGGGGGGAGTTGGGGGGGAGTTGGGGGGAGTTGGGGGGGGAGTTGGGGGGGGAGTTGGGGGGGGAGTTGGGGGGGGAGTTGGGGGGGAGTTGGGGGGGGAGTTGGGGGGGGAGGGGGGGAGTTGGGGGGGGGAGTTGGGGGGGGAGTTGGGGGGGGAGGGGGGGGGAGTTGGGGGGAGGTGGGGAGTTGGGGGGGAGTTGGGGGGGGAGTTGGGGGGGAGTTGGGAGGAGTTGGGGGGGTGTTGGGGGGGGAGTTGGGGGGAGTTGGGGGGAGTTGGGGGGGGGGAGTTGGGGGGGGGTTGGGGGGAGTTGGGGGGGGGAGTTGGGGGGGAGTTGGGGGGAGTTGGGGGGGGAGTTGGGGGGGAGTTGGGGGGGAGTTGGGGGGGGAGTTGGGGGGGGAGTTGGGGGGGGAGTTGGGGGGGGAGTTGGGGGGGGGAGTTGGGGGGGGAGTTGGGGGGGGAGTGGGGGGAGTTGGGGGGAGTTGGGGGGAGTTGGGGGGAGTGGGGGGGGGAGTTGGGGGGGAGTTGGGGGGAGTTGGGGGGAGTTGGGGGGGAGTTGGGGGGGAGTTGGGGGGAGTTGGGGGGAGTTGGGGGGAGTTGGGGGGAGTTGGGGGGAGTTGGGGGGAGTTGGGGGGAGTTGGGGGGAGTTGGGGGGAGTTGAGGGGAGTTGAGGGGAGTTGAGGGGGTTGGGGGGAGGCGTTTTTGTCGGGTTGTTTGCCACAGAAGGCCGTTCTTTTTTTTTTCAGGTTTTGGTTGACGGAAGGAGGGGGGGGGTTCCCTTGTAGCCTTAGCCAAAAATTGTTCTCTTGCCAATAGGGCTCCTTAAAAGGTAGTAATTATAAAGGGGAAGCAACCGAAACATGTAACAGAATACTTCTAGGATCATGACTAAGTTTGGAAACACAAAGTACACCACAACCCCATTCTAATAATTAGGCCCTTGCAATTCAACTTTGAGCCGACAAAGTGCCAGGTGCTGGGGAGGATATGGGCTTCCACCCACCCAAAGTTCTCAGAAACGCCACGGGATGCCTCGCCCAAACGCCCAAACCCCAACCCTTTGAAACCACCCCGTCATCCACGCCCAATTATCTTCTAGGTCCCCCAGTCCCCCAGTAGTGCCCTTCTCTCCGCTTTTTTTGGGGAGGGCTCTTTTACTAAAATAGACTACAGAAAAAGAAAAAAACGGGTACCAACTTCTTCTAACCTCCAAAACTGCGCCAGAGGTTGCCAGTCAAAACCCAAATGGCTGTGGTTGTCAAAACCGTTTTGGGATCCCATTTTGGTAGGTGAATTCACCACCCATTTCAGGGTTCCTATTTTAGTGGTTGGATTGGTTGATGTTCACTGGGGGCTAAATCCGATTTGGATTTTGACCCATGGCCATTTGATTCCTTGGGTTCCCTTGAGTTCTCTTGGGTTCCCTTGATCTTCCTTGGGTTCCCTGAAGTTTTCTGGGTTCCCGTGGGTTCCTTCTAAACTGGCCCCAAAACGGGTCGCCTCAATTCACGAGCCGCAGCAGCCCGAGGCGCAGCTTCAGCGCCAAGAGCTGCTGCGGCGGCAGCTGCTGCGCTGTCAGCAGCGCCTCCAGGAGAGCCGAGCGGTGGAGCACCCGCGTGGCGCCACGCGGGCTGGCCGGCTTGGATTTAAAGCCCAAAACCCAACACCCGGGTCGGGAAAGGGCAATAGTTGATTCGCCGGAAAGTCATATATATATATATAACAGTTATTTATATATATATAGCCATTCAAACTGCTCGCACCAACTTAATATTGAGAGCATGTTATGAGATTCGTTCATTTCTTCCACAACCTACCGTTCATTTGGTAGGGACATGGGCGGGAGAAAACATGATGTCCAGTATTGATTCAGAACCAGTCCACGAGAGCCATGGGAGAGCCCATGGTCCAGAATTGATCGCCCATGGCCGTCGCTGAAATCGTCAAAACTTACTGGGTTGCGCTCCCAGCATTTGGGTCAAAATTAAGGGGACCCCGGGTTTTAGTTTTTTCTTTCCATTTACCGATCCATTTCGTGTACCTAATTCTTGACCAGCCATTTAGCACTGAGTGTAGAGGGAAGAGACCTCGGCTCATCTGTCTCAAGGACACCTCGATTGATTTGCTTCATGATATTGTTTCAGAATCCGATTCCGTGAGGAATCGCTGAGCTGCTCGCTTTGCCCGCGCTCAACCTTTTTTTTGGCCTCGTCCAAAACACATTGATGCTGTTAGGGTAGACTCAACACGAAAACAGGCAGACCATATCATTTTCATACCCCGGGCGAGGGCGAAGGTTCGTCTTTAGACATGTCGCGATCTCCAGATTGCTCCAAGAGAGGTTGCGGAGTTACACTTGTTAAGATGATATTTTGCGGGCGTCACTGTCCGGGCCCAATTCTGGGGTTACCTGGTGAAGGCCCTGTAAGGTATGTTAGAGCCTGGCTCACTCAGCGGGGTAACGCTTTGCTGTTATCGATCGCTTTGGCTTCAGCTGAACCTAAGTCGCGAAATGCTGGCACATGCTGGCACAGGTTGGGCTCCTAGGATAGTTCAAGACTGAAGGACTTTTTTTGGCTGTGTGTCCAAGCAATGGGGATCATAGTTTTCTGTCTCAGTTTATCACGTTTGGCAACTTCAAACGACCCCGAAGGCGCACATGAAGGTGGATGTGCACTTGCCCAGTGGAGATGGTTGCTCTGTAACACTCTCACCAGAAAGGCCGGTCAGCGAGCTGAAGGCTGCAGCAGAGAAGCATTTCCAGCGCCGCTTGAAGCTCACTGTGGAAGGCCGGCAGCTCGATTTGGCTGCCACGCTGAGTGAGGCCGGATTGCGAGATGGGGACGTGGTGGCGGCAGTCGTGCAGCTTGGAAAACTGGCTGCCACAGGCAAGGCCTTTGCTTGGCATGGCCACGGTGGCGAGGTTGTGACCTGGGGTGATCCAAAACGTGGCGGAGACAGCAGCCGGGTGCAAGAGCAGCTGAGGAACGTCGAGGACATCCAAGCGAATTCAAGCGGTGCTTTTGCTGCGATTCTTGAATCTGGGGCTGTTGTAACCTGGGGTGATCCAGACTGGGGTGGAGACAGCAGCCAGGTGCAGGAGCAGCTGAGAAACGTTCAGCAAATCCAAGCAACTACCGGTGCTTTTGCTGCCATTCTTGAATCCGGGGCTGTTGTGACCTGGGGTCATGCGCGCAAGGGCGGAGACAGCAGCCAGGTGCAAGATCAGCTGAGGAACGTCCAGCAAATCCAAGCAACTAGCCATGCTTTTGCTGCTATTCTTGACTCCGGGGCTGTTGTCCAGAGCATCCACGCAACTGACGGTGCTTTTGCTGCCATTTGTGAGTCTATGGCTGTTGTCACCTGGGGTAATCCACTCTTTGGAGGAGACAGCACCGGAGTGCAAGATCAGCTGAGAAACGTACAGCAAATCCAAGGAAATGCTGGTGCTTTTGCAGCCATTCTTGAATCTGGGGACGTTGTGATCTGGGGTCATCCACACTTTGGCGGAGACAGCAGCCAGGTGCAGGAGCAGCTGAGAAGCGTTCAGCAAATCCAAGCAACTACCGGTGCTTTTGCTGCCATTCTTGAATCCGGGGCTGTTGTGACCTGGGGTCATGAAAGGGGCGGAGACAGCAGCCAGGTGCAAGATCAGCTGAGGAACGTCCAGAGCATCCAAGCAACTGGCGGTGCTTTTGCTGCCATTCTTGCATCTGGGTCTGTTGTGACCTGGGGTGATCCAGCATGCGGCGGAGACAGCAGCCAAGTGCAAGAGCAATTGAGGAATGTTCAGAACATCCAAGCAACTGCCGGTGCTTTTGCTGCCATTCTTGAATCTGGGACTGTTGTGACCTGGGGTCATCCAGGCTGGGGCGGAGACAGCAGCCAGGTGCAAGAGCAGCTGAGACACGTCCAACAAATCCAATCAACTACCGGTGCTTTTGCTGCCATTCTTGAATCCGGGGCAGTTGTGACCTGGGGAAATGCAGCATACGGCGGAGACAGCAGCCAGGTGCAAGAGCAGCTGAGCTTGTAATCTGGTTCTGTTGTAGCATGGACTGCGCAAGTCTGGTTACTAAAGGCGTACTGCAGGAAGGGAACAACAGCTCAACTTCCCAGTTTGGTTCGGTATCCTGGGGGGGGGGCTGCTATGGGTGCCTGTTGCTATGGCCATGAATCAGATAACCAGTATGAACATCATCCGTTTGCACAGGAGACCGAGAAATTGGAGGAGAAAGCGACTCGTGGAGAGGCGAGGCACTCGCACATGCTATTGAATCAAGAAGCGGGTGGTGTAGCTAAGTTCAAGGTTTACATTCGGCTAGGAATACTGCGGATGATCAAACTACCTGCACCACGGTGGGTGGTTCCTCTCAGCATTCACCGGGCTTTCATTCATCCCAACAGGTACTAGGTCCCCCAGTCGTGTTCTTTTACTCTTTTTCCTTTCTTGGCGGAGGGTTCCCCTACTAAAATAGACAACACCGGAGAAAAAGAAAACAAAACGGGGGAAAAACAAAAAAAAAACAATAGGGTACCAACTTATTCTAACCTCTGAAATCTGGAGGACCTAGTTGAGGAACACCCCCCATACAGAATAGGTTGTGGGTAACCTGAATACAGGTGGCGTTCTTTGACCAGGTCCCCAGTGCCCTTTTACGCTTTTTTTTTGGGGGTGGGACATCGGGTGTCTTTGTTTGTTTAGCTGGACTTTTCAGCGTCCTCACGTGGACTCCTTTGGGGTCCAGTGAAGCTGAGGCCGTTGAGGACTCGGACTAAGCAGACCAAATACGTTTCCATAGCATAGGTGTCCTTTTTGGTTGGCCTTTGCCTATGAAATCAGCTCAGGTAAAATATCCCCAGCAGCATGCGGTGGAAACCTGGTGGAACCCTGGAACCTTACCTCGCCGGACCACCCAAAAAGCCTATCAGCTTTCAGCTGGGGAAAAGAGGGCGATTCCTGGTTTAGATGGGGTTTATTCCACCTGGGACCATACGGGCAAATACGGCCAAATACGGGAGTTTGGCCGAAAAAAAAACCAGCCATACGGGGTTTCTTCCAATAAAAAAAGGGACGCCGCCTCTGATTTTTCCAAAATTGGCCGCCTCCGATTTCCTGGGTCTTTGCATGCGGCCGAGGTTAACCACCGCGTGCACGAGCAAAAGCCTGCATTGGTTCATGTTGAAAACCCGGCTTTGCCCGGCGCAAGCACGCCGTTCGCATCGTTCAGCACCTCTGGTGCACCCTGCCTCTCACTGTGTGCCACGTATATATTAATACCTGTATCTTCCAAGGGGCATAATTTCAGCAGTTTCGGGCACAACCAGGTTTTAAGTTGAGACGGCGCATTTTGATGCAAACTGCGCTTTTCCTCTTTTCAGCATCAGGGTGCATATTCGAGGTCAGGTGGGGCTTGAAACTCATGCCAGTATGCTGGTTCTGGTCGAATGTGATGCACTTGACTTCGCAGCACTAGCGCCGCAGCGATCTATTTGTTTTTTTATCACTCCTCTTGAGTATTGGAGGTCCAGCAAACAGCATCCAACCACTTGTTGCCGGCGCAGGACTGGGGCATGAACTGGTTTGACTGCTGCTGCGCGGCGAAGGTTATAGCCATTTCAAGCAACACTCACAGTGGGAGTGGTAAGATCTCTAATGGCCTCACGAATCACAATTTGCGACTAGCACTTGGCGCATGTTTAGCTTGCAATGCCTTACTAACGCCAGAAGGGCAAGTCTTGCATAGTAGTCATCGGCACAATGATAGGATGGAAGGCCAATCCGCTTTAGGCTGGTTGGCATGCAAGCCAAGAAGGCTGGAAGCATGCGAAACGAGGAAATATGAGGGAACCACGCCAACACATAAGAATGTAAGTTGCTACTTCAGCAGTTGCCGTGATATCGCTGTTGGATGGCTTTGTTTACTGCTGCGCACACCTGGGAAGTGTCAATTTCTGAATTGCAACGGGCTTGCCATCACAGCCCTAGAGGGAAAGACCCCGAGTTGGGTCGCCTTGGAAAGATTCAGGCAACTGTCCAAACTTGCAGAAACAAAACGGTGATAATTTGCGGCCAAACGGCGATACTTTGCGGCCAAACGGCGGTTTTTAGCGAACCACACACATTCATAGCGCTTGCCGGTTCACTTCACACTCCGCCCACCTGCCCTCCCCCGCGCGTGCACGCGCGCGGCGTGCGCCGCACGCACGCACGTACGCGTACGCGCGCATCAGGAATGGCTTGGGGAAGAATGGCCCCAATTGCAGGCGATGCAAGGGATGCAGGCGATGCGTGAAATACAAGAACTTTCGTAAGCCTCGGTGATGCTGGCAATGCAGCCGAGTTGCTGCGTATATACAGTGTTTTTAGCCTTTTCTCGAGCTCCAGTGGCCAAAGGCGCTGGGCATGTAGACGATGCGAGGGGTCGGCGGCAGCGACCGTCAGTCGGAAGGCAGCGAAATTACACGGCGAGGCCGTGGTTCCGCCGCCCCCATACACCTTAGAATTTCCGCCCGGGTGGAGAGAAAACGCAGATAGACACGCGGGGGGGGGGGGGTCTTCGCGGACACAAAGATAGACACAGATGCATAGATAGACATAGACAGAGCCAGACAGACACAAAGAGACATAGTAAGATATGTAGGGGCAAGTGGGGGGGGTTTTCGCGGACACGAAGATAGACATAGACACATAGATAGACACAGATAGAAAGACACATAAACAGATACGTAAGGGGGGGGGATGGTCTTTGCGGACACGAATATAGATAGACGATGGGGGGGGCGTAGGGCCCGAAGCTTAGGGAAGAAGATTGAAAGCAAAAAGCGCACGACTTAGCTTGTTTTGTGGTGCCGATACATTATCGGAAAATTAAGGGAAGAAGCCGTTATGGAAAAGTATGGGAAAATGGAAGAGTATAGAAAATTACGATAAGAATTTGGAAGATTGAAGTCGGAAGACTCCTCGCAAGTGACCATCACGACCATGACACGCTTGGTCCAATGGCTGCGTCCTGGCGCGTGGCTGAAATACCACTGCGGGTTGTCCAGTACTTTTTTTCCATTCGTACTCATGTTTGCATTGTGGTTCGAAAGCGAAGCGGCTTCAGCCATTCTCCCCTAATTGGAAACATGCTTGCGTTGATGGCAGCGTGCTTCTTTCCAACATGACATCATCAGCCCCAGCTCCTGCTTCTTCCCTCCTTGGACTCGCGCTTGCAGCCGGGCGGCGCGCTGGCGACCCAGCCATCGAGGGCATCAGCCTGGATTGCTGCCGTGGCCTCCGCCTTCCGCAGCAAGATCACGTCGCGCGGGCTGACGCGTGCTTTTTTTTCACTCAATGAGCCAACAGGCCATGAGCCGCCTGGCGCTGTCTCGCGCTTCCTTCACGAATGCTTCGTGTACGGAAAAAAGAACGCATCCTGCAGCGTTTGGCCGACCTCGCTTGCAATGTCATGCTTTCGGGCCAACCGTGGTCTAATTTTTTTTTGGGGGTGGGGGGTTTGAGGAAAAATGCCGCCAGCAGGAATCCGAAAAACGCCCCCGTGGCCTCCCCTGCTGAAAGGTGAAAATGGTATTTCTGGGTCGTGTGGGCAACTGAGAGTTTCCTTTTGCTTTCCCCTTCCCATCCAAGGAAACCCCCCCAGTTTGAGAAAATATCTGAACCCTGACAGTTCCCTGTGCAAATGCCAAAGGCCTTTTGTACTTGATATTTTTTTCTAAAGGTTTTCCATGGTAAATACATATTTGTTTAGTAAAGGATCAACATCATACCCTTGAAAGGGGGGTATTGGGTGAGGGGGTTGACTAAGTTGTTTGTTTGTATTGAATTTCATCAGGACCAAAAGAGTCGCTGCACGCCAAAACCAAAGCTGTGTGGAGGGTAGTGGGAAACAATCCCAAGCTGTAGATCCTTACCCTGGTTTTGGGTATGCTCCTTTACGCAGCTTCACATATATTTGTAAGCTGTGATCCACTTTTCTTCAGGTTCGGTTGCAGGAGAATTGGCGCCACATTGTCTTGGGCTTTAGCTGAAGAACTTCAGGCCGAATTAGGCAAGCTGGGATGTCCTCACATGAGAGATGGTTCAAGACCCATGAAGGATCTTTCATTGCATAGCTGGTTTACAAAAGCCATTCAAAGAGCCCCCCCCACAATTCACGTTGACATGTTTCCGACACCAAGAACCCAAGAACTGCGCCATGAAGCTGGATGTTCACTTGCCCAGTGGAGATGGTTGCTCCATAACGCTCGCACCGAAGCGGCCCATCAGCGAGCTGAAGGCTGCAGCGCAGCGGCATTTCCAGCGCCGCTTGAAGCTCACGGCAGCTCAATTTGACGGCCACGCTGAGTGAGGCCGGGCTGCGTGATGGGGATGTGGTGACTGCGGTTGCGCAGCTTGGCAAACTGGCTGCTACCAAATATGCGTTCGTTTTTCATGGCCACGGGGGCGAAGTTGTGACCTGGGGTGATGCAAAAAATGGTGGAGACAGCAGCCAGGTGCAAGAGCAGCTGAGGAACGTCCAGCACATCCAAGCAACCGAGCGTGCCTTCGCTGCCATTCTTGAATCTGGGGCTGTTGTGACCTGGGGTCGTCCAGAATGTGGCGGCGACAGCAGCCACGTGCAAGAACAGCTGAGGAACGTCCAGCACATCCAAGCAACTAACAGTGCTTTCGCTGCCATTCTTGAATCTGGGGCTGTTGTGACCTGGGGTGATAGCTTTGACGAAGACAGCCGCCAGGTGCAACAGCAGCTGAGGAACGTCCACAAATCCAAGCAACTCACTCTGCTTTTGCTGCCATTCTTGAATCCGGGGCTGTGGTGACCTGGGGTGCTCCAGACTGCGGCGGTGACAGCAGCCAGGTGCAAACAAGCTGAGGAACGTCCAGAGCATCCAAGCAACTCGCACAGCTTTTGCTGCCATTCTTGAATCTGTTGCTGTTGTGACCTGGGGTGATGCACAAAATGGTGGAGACAGCAGCCAGGTGCAAGAGCAGCTGAGGAACGTCCAGCACATCCAAGCAACCGAGCGTGCCTTCGCTGCCATTCTTGAATCTGGAGCTGTTGTGACCTGGGGTCGTCCAGAATGTGGCGGAGACAGCAGCCAGGTGCAAGAACAGCTGAGCTTGAACCTGGGGCTGTTGTAACTACGGCGCAAGTTCGGAGTCTAAAAAGCGTGCTGAACCCCAGAGTTTTATTCCGCAGAGTTGGGACATTTCGCCGACTAAAAGTCAAGCTGAATCGCAAGGCATCTGAGGACAGCCCAGAGCAGGACATGGAGGCGTCTCTCACCAAAGTCCACTCTCATTGGACACAAGTTACCACAACTCTTCTCAGAAAAAGAAACAAGTTGGTACCCTTATCCTAACCTCGCGACCTAGTCTTTGTCAGAGAACTTCAATCCTCGGTTTCCCTGGCAAAAGAAAACCCTCCTTCACCCCCCGCTGGCTCACCCAGCTTGTTGATCTCCGAGGGTCGCGCGCGCACCGCAGAAATCGCAAAAAGCCCACAGTTGTTTGACTTCGACCACGCCGATCTCCGCAGAGGGTCGCGCGAGCATGTTGAAAAGCCGAAAAAGTCAACACAGTTTTTTCGGCTTTGACCACGCCGCTCGCAGAGGGCTGGCTTCTTGATCGCCGCCTTCGAAGAGTAATTTATATTTGTTGAGCTTCACGTTCTTTCTTTCACGCACGAGTCCATACGAATGTTCACAATGATAGCTGTGGCTTCCCGGCGGGTACATTTTTCTCCTGTGTGGTAAGAAAAAACAATGTTTTCCATCGAGACGGCACCATTTGTTTTTCGAAACGACACTTTTGCAAGTTGAGCATTGCAGGCGGTCGCTTGCCAAATTGAAACGGCAATTTTACCCGTCCAAACGGCAACTTTTCCCGTCCAAATGGCAACCTTTCCGACCGTTGGACGGGCATTTTGTGAAACGGCAGTTTTTCAGGCAAACGGCGCTTTTTTCGCGAATCGGCAACAAAAAGACTGCAACCTCCCGTGCCAATTTCCTGTATAACTTGCCAACGCAACTTCCAAGTGCAACTTGCTAGCGCTTGCCAGTGCAACTCGCTTCTGCAACTTGCTAGCGCCACATGCTGGTGCACTTTTTTGATATCACGCTAGTGCTGCTGGCCAGTGCATCACGCTAGTGCTACTGGCTAGTGCGTCTTGCCCGTGCTACTTTTGCTACTGTTCCTGGCCAGCGCACCTTGCTTGCGCTTTCCTTCTGCAACTTGTTCGTCCTAGTTGCTAACGCAACTTGCTCGCGCAACTCGCTAGTGCTACTCGCTACTGCTACTTGCTTGTGCTACTTGCTGTTGTATTCATAGGTGTCCTTTTTGGTGGGTTTTTGATATGTCCGCAGCAGTGGCTTGCGCATGTCTTTTGGGAAATCACAGGGTCATTCCTAAGCTCCTCAAGGACCTTCATAGGGCCTTCAACCTTGTTGGTGTCTTAGTCTGACACACACCTGGAGTCTGCCTAAGGACCCAGAAAAGAAACAGGGGACCCAGATAAGGGATCACCCTTTTTTTACCAGTCATTTGGGAGACTTCAGGGAGACACCATGTTTTTTTCTTCCATTTGCTTAATCATATTGTTCATTGTGCCCTTTTGGTGTTAAAGAGAATCTATCACTACTGGAAATATGTTTTATTTCTTCCAGGGGGTTAAGCAAATGGAGGTTTTCGTTGTTTCAACTTTTTTAGACCCCGAAAAGTCTGACGAGCACCCACGAGCCCACCAGGCGCTCAGTGAGGACGAGCTGGCCAAGGTGGCGCGCCGACCACAGGCGCGGAACCGCGGCTGCGCGGCTTCGCATGGGCTTTTGGGCGTGCATTCGGAGCCCAAAAACGGTCATGTCGACCCCTGAAAAAATCGACATGTTTATTCATGAGAGCGGGACGCTGTGAACGTGCGCTTGTTTCACGTTTTGAGTTGAAACTCAAGTTGAACTACGTTTGTTTAAATCTTAGCTGAAGTGTAAAGAAGTGCATTAAACTTCGCGGGACCTCATATTCATCAAGTTCTACTTCATATCTATCTCACATTGAAAATGATTTAATAAGGAAAGAAACCAAACATAGTTTTGAGTTGCAAGTATAATTTCAATAATGAGTCTTCTATTTCAAAATACATTCTACACAGGATCTCCTTTCCAATCGAATTGTCTTTGCAAATCAATAGAGATTCAAACAACACGTGTTTAACAGTTTGTGGGACCTCTACTTTCTTTCTTATGAACGCCACTCAGTATATTTATCGAGTTCTACTTTTACAATTCTAACTCAAATTAAGAAGAATGTAGTAAGGAACAAGTTCAGCCAGGGGAAACCATCTCTAACTTACTGTACTAGGGCTTGGAGGTGAACTACACCAGCGCACTTGATCACAGGACCTCTTGCAAACAGGCCGGAAACGGTACAGTACAAAAAGCAACTCGAGACACCCAAAACAAAACATATTATGCCCCCCGAAGTCAGGACAGCTGATAGAGTCCTTGTTGTCGGGGTTTTGGTTTTCTCGAGGGGGAAACAAACCACCAAAACCAAGACTACCCCTCCCCTTCCCAACTTAGGACAGCTGACATAGTCGTGTTTTTTTCTTCTTGAGGTGTTTCACACTTTTCCGAAGAAATGCAAAAATCATCGAGAAAACCAAAAAACAAACAACAACTGAAAAACCAAGACTACCCCCCCCCCAAGTCAGGACAGCTGACATAGCCTTGTTTTTTGGTTTTCTCGAGGTTTTTGACACTTGGTTAAGGAAATGCAAACAAAAAGACACGTGATTCCGGGAAAATAATCGCTATAAATCACCAAAAAAGTGCCCGCTCAGGGTCACCTATACTCTGTTATTCATAGGGGGGGTGTGGATCTGGGTGGGGAACACCCCCCTCTGAGTAAACTGAATAAACTTGGGTTGATTGTATAATACACCGCCCTTTAAAAAAAGGACAGACCCCTTTTGAGTTGAGCTGGTTAGGGCAAACTTGGTAACCAGATGGACCAGTTTTGTGAATCAACAGTGGTTCAGGTACAACTAATGGTGGCTTGGATTTGTGGTTTGGGAGTTTGAAGCCCACTTCCTTGTGAAGCCAAATAAGGGAAGGTGGCACCAAAAAACAGCCAAACCACCAAACCAAAAACTCCATTCGCATGTGAGTGGTTGCCACCATATTTGGATTTGTGCCTAAATGGGAAAGCACCCCCCCCAAACCCCTGAAAGAAGTGGGTTCCGAACCGCCCTGGTTTCCTGGGTGCTGGATCCTTTCGGCAGTTGTTCCACCTTTCGGTTCTTTTTGTTGGGTGGGGTTTTCCAGAGGTTCCCACGGCAAGTTGGAATGGCAGTAAAGTCAAGTGCTTCCCCACTTGCAACAGGGAAGAATTGAAGAATCTGCGAATTTCATACACGTAACATGTTTAGACGCGTCTTCATACATGTCTTAGCATTGAGCAAGATTAGGCTCCAGTTCAGTTGGCTGGCAGCTGCCTTCGGCTTGCTTCAACCGAAACGGGTTCCGCAAGAAGACCCCGATGTTTGAGCTCCTCGCTGGCTAAGCATGTTTTTCTTACCTCTTAAAAATACAGCTTTTCAACTTTTTGGGTAACATGGGCTATATGTCTGTAAAAGATTAACTTCCCCACAGCTTGGAGTTTTAAGGGGTAAGTTTTCTCCAAGAACTCGTTGAGAGCTGTTTCCATCAAGGTCTGCACTTGACGCGGAAGCTGATGCTTCGGGCGATCTCTCAACTTGGCACAGAAAGAACTGGGCAGACAGGAGACGAGCTGTGCCTGCAATGTAGTGCCTCAGCTTGCGGGCAAGAAGTCGGTCTTTGCAGCAAGACAGGTCCGTGCATGTTTTCCAATCCCAGTAGACTATATAACGCTACTCGGATTCTCCAATCACTTTCAGCCAGGAATACAATACATATTTGGTCGCTTGCCGAAAGGAGTTCTGCGTGCGTATTTACTGGAATTGAGGCTTCTTTGTATACTGTTGGTCCATGTTGGTGGTGATACATTGGGTCGAGGGTATCATATGGCTCCGGATTGGAACATTCTGGTGTGTCTTTGTATACACAAACATGCGGTATATCAATACGCAAGAGGCTATAGATGCATACCTCAGATGTCCAAATCCAGCCTAACCTTCCTGTGGATCCTGTTTCTGCAGTTCATGTCCATGTCCTTTGAGTGTGAGATACACGCACGACACACGCGTTATGTTGGTGTACTCGCTTTTAAAGAGGTGACTCGGCATTGCCAAGCTTACAGACCAGGTCGGCGTTCATGATTTTCTTTCTGGGGGCGGCTAGAAACTGAGGATCAGTTTCGCAAACCTGCCACTTGCTGGTGACTTGATGATAAATCGGTTGGCCCTTCAGCTGAAAGCTTCTTGAACCATGGCACAACCATGAAAAAGACAACGGACATAGGAGCCCTTGCGCCTGCTGAAAAGCTGTTCAACTTGCTGGTTCGATAGGCAGGGAATGAGAAATGGAATGCCCCTACAAATTATATCCCCCATCATTTTCTCCTCTCTTTTTGTTTCTTTTTCGGGACTCCCCAAAACCGTTTTTTTCGGGAATCCCCCAAACCCGGTTTCTTCCCCACACCCGGAAGGGTCATTTCGTCCGACCTTCCTCTCGCAGCGATCGCAAGAGGGTCCGACTGGTCAGGTTGAAGCCGAGATCGATCGCTTGACTCATGAGCTGGGCTTGGCCGGGCTCCTCAATCCGAAGGACCCCACGAAGCCCCAAGAGCCATCGTTTTAGTGTCCATGCCACCAAAATTCCCTCTTTGCCGCTTCCTCTGGCGACAGGGTTGGGTTGACATGTGGCGCAAAGGCGCTTTCCACTAAACCCCCAAGAAGTTGAGCTTTTTGCGGGGGGGTCGTTACAGCAACCAAGTTTCGAGGCTCTTTTAAAGGGACTTCAAACAGGGCAACGGCCGGGTCCGACGTCCGGCAGTTTATCCGACGCTCGCCACGAGCTCAGGCCAGCCACTCGGAGGCAGGGAGGTCAAGCCAGGGGTGGCCCTTTCCACTGAAATGGGTGTGGCTCAAAAGTAACAGGGCTCCTTAAAAGATACATTTTGCCCATTTGCAACATGGCTTTTTCCACCAAAATAGAGAAAACCACCATTTACAAGGCAATGTTCATGTGTATACTGTAAAGATCCCTGATTAAGCAGCAGGGGTTACGCAGGTTTGAGTCTTTGGTTCCATTTCCCAAGGTGCCGTTTTGGCACATTTTTCTGAGCCACAGCCGAATGAAGAGACTCCCGTAAAAAGGGTTTCTACCCTTGGTGGCCCCCAGCCGTCCGGTTCCTTAGCCTTTGAGGCTTTTTAGAGCTTTTAGGGTTGAATGGTAGTTTCCGAATTTAACTTACCAAAAGTGCAGCTTTTAGCAGGGGATCTGAGGGCAGCCCAGTACAGCTGCTTATTTATCCCACAGTGGGGATTTGGGCCGTTTCCGTTTCAGTGGAGAGCCTCCAGAAGGTTTCTGCACTAGCGGGCTGCTGATTGATCCCACAGTGGAAAAGGCAAGCCAACACGAACAATGGATTTCAGCTGGCCATTTCTGGGGTTTCACAGGATTCCCGCCATACGGGTGGCCACTTTTGGTGAGTGGTTAAGAGGAGTCGCAAGTGAAGTGGTCATTTGCATGGGTGCCGCAAACTTGGTATCACAAGGGAGCTGTTGTCCGCATCCGGACCCGGTTCCGTGAAAGTCATTTTGTGTTGGTTCAAGTCTGCCGGGGCAATGAACTCATGGAGCCTGGTCAACCCCCCAGTTCTTCTTTGAGACCCCCAGTTCTTCTTTGAGAGGGTAGGAAAAATCGGGTACCCTAATGCTAACCTCCAAAACTGGAGGACCTAGACTTTAGACTTTATTTCCGAATTCGTGCTGCCTCAGGTCGTTTCGGGGCCTGAACGGGTGTTGGATCGGGAATGAATCTAGGGATTGCCTGAGAACCAGCAGAGGGAAGCTGCCAGGGCGAGGAGGAGGTCGATCCGGAGGAGGCGCGCCGAGCGGGTGGTCGCGATGGTGATCCCCCGGTCAGCGCTCACTGGTCGCTTTCTTCGGCGAGCCACCGAAGAAAAGGGATGGCACACATGGCCATGGGTCAAAATCCCGGTTAGCCCCCAGTGAACATTTCAATCCAACCACTGAAATAAACTAAAATGGGTGGTGCACCTACCCCAAAATCGTACCACACCGTTTTGGGATCCCTTTTCGTCGAGTTCGCCACCCATTTTAGTCGGGACTTTAGTGGTTGGATTGGGATGTTCACTGGGGGCTAACCGGGGGTTTGACCCATGGCCACATGACCAACAAGGGGCACTGTGTTTAAATCGCGCTGCTCAGGGTTCCACTTTTTGACTACCCCAAGATGGACTTAAACCCAGGGGTTCTCCTTTGGGGGCAATGAACCACCCCTGGGTTTAAGTCTACCCTGAAATAGTCAACAAGTAGAGCCCTGGCGCTGCTTTCCTTCTTTTGCTTTGGAAGAAAGGGTCCGCGTAGCCCTTGAAAGCCCCGGGGCCAATGACCAAATTCGTTTCTCAGAGCGAGTGGCTGGTTTTCGGCGACGTTTGCGGCCGTATCCGCCGGCCTTCCGACGTTTATCCGCCCAAATCGGTCCAAAGTCAGATCCTTGAAAAACGGCCCTTAAATGGCGGTTTTGAAGAAGCGCCACGTTCCAAAACATGGATTTTGAGAGCCCCTCAAGTGGTCACTTCGGCCACAGTCAT